GGACTTGAATTTCTGTAAATAAAGTGAATTTTATGTGTTGATTGCTTTGAGGGAGAGAAATGAATTAGTAATTAATTATGTAACTAATAGTTTAGAGTAGATTTGTCATAGAATAATTTTGAGAACAAGGCTTTCATATAGCTAAGAAATGGTTAAAATTGGCATTAAACAGGGAATCTATAGCAAAATCAAGATTTGATGCTTCGAACTAAAAATTGTGATATGTATGGTACACTTTAAGAATTTTTTTTGCTTATGTTACATCAGACATGTTAATGAGAGGTGAATTTTGAGGTAACTTACTGTAAAGCAGAAGAGTTTTCTGTGTAGTTGCTTGAGAGGAATAAAACTTTAAAAATAAAAAATATTTCAGTGCTTTGGGAGGCTGAGGTGGGAGGCTGACTTGAGCTATGGAGTTCTGGACCAGGCTGGGTAACATAGAGAGACCCCATCTCTACAAAAACAAACAAAAAACTTAGTCAAGTATGGTGGTGCGTGCCTATAGTCCCAGCTACTTGAGAGACTGAGGCAGGAGGATGGCACGAGCCCAGTAGTTAGACACTGTAGTGTGCCATGATTATGCCACTGCACTCTATCCTGAGCGACAGAAGTGACACCCTGGCTCTAAATAAGGAGATAAATAAATAATTAAAGTAAAATTTAAAATACAATTGAATATAAACTCATGTTCTATAAGAAATGAAATGGCTGAAAAATAGGAAGAGATTGCATTTATGAAAAGGAGATGTGAGGTATATCTGAAAAAGAAAAGTCAAGAAACAAGACCCATATTTATGTTGCTGTAAAAGAAGATGTAAAAATTAGAGGGTAAGAGAAAATAGAACCAAGACTCAGGAAAAATTAGCATATTAATGTTTCATTAAAAATTAATGTATGAAATCCCTCTGGTTGAAGATCCGAAATTGGGTCATAATGAATAGTAAGAGTTGGAGGTTAATGCTAACTTAGGAAATTGGGCATCTTGAAGAAAAATATATTTTTCTCAGAAATACTTCCTAAAGGGACATATACTGTGCACTGAAAGGAACTTTCAAATTGACTAAAAATACAGAAAGATGTAGAAAAGATAGTCAAAGTTATTAGATCCTGGACATATACTGTGCACTGAAAGGAACTTTCAAATTGACTAAAAATACAGAAAGATGTAGAAAAGATAGTCAAAGTTATTAGATCCTGAGGTTAGATAGGCATTTTTGGGTTAAAATAAACACCCAAATTAAATCAGAGGTTAATAGGTACCTGTAGATTCCATGTTTATTTGTCATTTGTCTGATAAATATTGCAAGCACTCTTCAAGTCACTGGAGTGGTACAGTTCAGAAGTGCTATTCTGTTTTACTCTGCAGCACACTTGTAAATTATCAGGAGAGGGACATTCTTGTGTTTTGAGTATTAGTAGATCAATCAGTGATATTTATAGGGAAAGGTCAAGTGCAGACAAGAAAGCTTTATTTTTTGGCTGGTCACAGTAGCTGATGCCTATATTCCCAGCAATTTGGGAGGCCTAGGTGGGAGGGTCACTGGAGGCCAGAGTTTAAAGACCAGCCTGGGCAAATAGTGAGACCCCATCTCTATTTTTATATAAAAATCTTTAAAAGAAATCCAGTAGCTTCTTTCCCAGATGTTAGATATATACATTGAGAACACCAAGTTTATTTGAAGGTAGAGGGACAGGCACAATAAAGACAGAACCTGAGAAGAAAAGCCCAACGGGAGATAGAAATGACAAGTAATACTAATGTCGCACCGGTAAAAAGGGAAACAATTGTACTTAGCCTGTTTTCAAGAAAACGTATGTGATTTCACATAACATATGTGAAAATTTGAAACTATGAAGTGCTATGCAAATGTAAAGTATTAATGATATTGCCAATAGGTCCCCTACAGTAAAAGAGTGCTGGAGAGACTGTAGTTCCTGAGTTAAGTGGACCAATTCCAAGGGGAGAGAATAGTGGTAGAGATAACTGTTGGGAGATTGCAAGCGGAATAGGACCCATCAAATCCAGGATGGGATCATATGAGCTAGTGAATGGAACAGATCAGCAAGTTACAGGACAAGTGAGTTGTTGGCATAGACACAAAGGCTATGATGACATGGAGTGTGATGGTATGGGGATGATAGTTGATGGCACGGGGTAGGGAAGAACAGTAACACTATTTGGAAATGCCTTTGATTAGACAGATCAGTGGTGATGATATGGACCAGGTGTCCCCAAACTTTCTACACAGGGGGCCAGTTCACTGTCCCTCAGACCGTTGGAGGGCTGCCACATACTGTGCTCCTCTCACTGACCACCAATGAAAGAGGTGCCCCTTCCTGAAGTGCGGCGGGAGGCCAGATAAATGGCCTCAGGGGGCCACATGCGGGCCCGCGGGCCGTAGTTTGGGGACGCCTGATATGGACAGTCTGTTAAAAGAAAATGATTCAGAGGGCTAAAAGACCCTGGGTATTGAGAAAGCCTCTTATTATTCCCTCTTCCCTTCTCCCAACATGTAGTCCCAGTGATATGATTTTGAGCCCTAGTGATGAGTAGTTCGTATCAAATTGGTTTTCCTTGCTGAATTTGCAGGTCACATGAAAATGAAAAATCCACCAGAATTATACTTTTTTAATAACAGGATTCCACTAGAAAAGTTTCTCTGAGAGACTATCAAAAGAGCTGTATAGGCAGTTAGAGCCATTACACTGTTCACTAAGATTATCACATATCCCAGTTTGCCCAGAACTGAGAGGTTTCCCAGGACACAAGATTAAAACCTGATGTTCTTGCGTAAACTGGGGCGAGTTGGTCACTCTCCTGTTTACTGTCATTTTATAAATTCATTGAAAGGACCAACAGTATTTCTATGTAGAAGTAATATTTCTATATTCCTATATATAATTTAATTGAAAATCCTCTATAGTTTATATTTTAATGAAATATTTATTTTATGCTTTGGAGCTGCTGAATCTTACCCATATAGAGGGGGGAGATTGCATGGTTCATCCATTTTTATCTTTGCCACATTCGTTGAGTTTTAAATTTTGTGCTTGATAAAATAGTTTTGCCTAAGTGTAGGCTTTCTAACTTTTTAGGTTCCACATTTATTGGACTACACTGCTCTTGTTACATACCATCCTATCTTGTTACTGAGTTGTCATTTCTTATGTATTAATACTGTCTTCAAAATTAGACTCAGTGCCAGGACTTTGTCTTCTACCATTTCTGTATGCTTGCCATGCCCACTTTATAAACTAGGCAGCCAGTAAGTATGTTTATTAATTGATCCAGGCAGATGTATAATGTGATAGTGTTTATTTGAGTTTTCAAAGCCTTAACACTGCAGAGTGTGCAGAATGAATCAGATCTATTCTAATTGGATGGTTTGCTTTTGTTTCTTTCTCTTTTCTCTTTCTCTCTCTCTCTCTCTCTCTCTCACACACACACACACACACACACACACACACACAAAATTTTGCTTCTGACTTAGGAAAGACATTTTGAAGTAAGCAGGCAATTAAGATAAAGCTTCTAAATGAAGATTTGATCTATAAAGTTCTATCAAAGAGTACTGGAAATGTAGTTTATTGTCTACACTCGGGACTTTTTTCTATTCTTTACAGTTGAATAATAGTGAACCTTTATACAAGTCTGTGGCATTTTTAAAGTGTTGAACTGACATAATCAGCTTAGATATTACTGACCATACCCTCTGAGCATAGATTATGACCTAAGACTCGGACTTTGTTTTTTCTTTTGCCAACCCTGCTTTCTAAATTCCTGAACCTCAATTGATCGTACAGTTTTTCTGTTTTCTAATATCCTGGACCAAGGACAACTAGATAAAAAGTCATACCATTATGCAGATTGTTGTCCCTGAGGTCTTGTGATAAGCACCAGTATTAATACGGCTCAGCAGAAGTTGATCAGCCCTCTCTCATTCTGCTCAACATTTGTTCCAAAATATCTCCTCTATAAACAAACCCATTGTCTTCCCTGGATGTTAATACCACTTACACAAACTGACTTCAAGATATTTCTTCTCCATGGACCTGTTTCCTCAACTGCGTACTTCTCTAACTAGCTGTCTATTATACGCAATTGTTAACAGCTTTCTTTTGAACTGCATATCCAAATGAAACTTGTATTTTTAACTTCCTTCTTCCACAATAAAAACAATAACTAGTTTTTATTCAGTCTTTACTTCCTGCCATATACTGGAAGTGTTAAGTATTTTACATGTGTTATCGCATTTAATTCTCATTGTAACATGAGGTAGATGACTCTGTTTTTCCTAGTCTACTGATGTAGGAAATAAGCCATGGAAAAGTTAACTTGGTCATACAGCTCTTAAGTGGCAGAACTGGAAATTAAATTTAAATAGTCTTAGTCTTCTCTCTATCCCGGTTAGGGAGCCATCATCCACTCAGACAATGAAGTGGGAGATTTTAGTTTTTCAGATTCTTGGTTTTTTGTAACCCTCAGCTATCTTATAGTCATCTGGTTAAATACCTTATATGTATCATGAGTTTTTCTTTCATACTGCCTACCAGTGCTTTAGTTCAGATAGCTCACTGTCTTAAATCTAGCCCCTGCAGCTTCCAAAGGTATTTTTCCAAAATGCAGTTCTCATTACTGAAACCATCAGGATAAACATTAAAGTCCTATACATGGTATATTTTAAATACAATATGAACCATTCCATAGGATACTATGCAGTTTAGACCCTCTCTGTTTGCCTGATCATGTTACACTGTCCTTATGTCCCATCGTCAACCATGCAAGCGTTCTCTGGATGTGTCACACTTTCTGTAATTCTCTCTTGAAAAATTATACACTTCAAGATCCAGTTCCCTCAGAGGTTATCTTCTCTGTAATCCCTTTCTTGATCCCTGTAGGCTGGATTATCTACTTCCTCTTGTGTGCCCCAGATATTGTACTTTACCTTTTGCATCTATTTTAGGAATTATCACATTGAAAGCTATTTATTTGTTTGCAGGGTTGTCTCCTCACAGACTATGAGCTCCTTGAAAGAGGGAATCGTGTCTTACTCATCTTTGTATCTCCAGTGTCTAGCAGTTCCTGATACATAGTAAGTGATTAACCATTTTTTAAAAACTAAGACTGTATTTAATAGTCAGACTTCATAAATTTTGATAATTAACTATGTAGACCTAGTAATATGTTGTCATAAAAAATACAGCTGTAGACTTCTAACACTCCTGAGGCTCAGTTTCCTCATCTGTAAGATGGACAGAGTGCTTCCCTCCTCACACAGTGTTACTGTAGTGCTCAGATGAGAGAATATATGACATTATATTATCTTTTAAGTGCCATACAACTTTATTTTATTAAATGAATTGTGGAGAATAATTGTTGAAATTGATTAATTTTATTTGCTGTGTCTCTTCCCTTTTAAGTCAGGATGTTATCATTTTTGAACCATCTCTCATGGTTTTCAGTTTAAATTTGTAGTTACTGGTTACCAGACCATGTGCTCTAAGTCGGGGGATTGGGTGATATGAAAAAGTTTATACAGAATAAAGGGAAAAATAGATTGGGGGTAGGGATCAGGGTATAGAGAGAGTTTCATATAGTAAAGTGAATAGTTTTTTATCTGGTTGGCACTGTTCCCCAGTCTGCACAGTATTATAAAGTTTTAAGATTCTTCTCAAGTAAGTAATCTGTGTCTCTTGCCTTTATTCTCAGCAGTTATCTTTCTGTTTAGTTCCCTAATAAGGTCCTTTGATTTTTTTTTTTAATCCACCTCCAAATGAATTATGTCTTCACCCATCCTTAGGTCCCTCATTTACTGCCTAGAGGAAGAAGTATCTTTTTCTTGGAAGACTAAACTTTACTGTATCTACTTCCGTGCCTTCCATACATTCTTTAAATTAAAAAAAAAAATGTAATTTGAATGTACCAGATTATATGTAACATATAGAAGTCAATAATAAAAACGTTTTGTCAACCAACCCCTCGAATGAAGAACTAGGTCAATACCAATGTGGTTAAAGAGCTACCTGTGTAGACCTCTCTGATTCCATATTCTTATCTTTTCCCAGCCCCTAAAATAACTGCTATCCTGAATTTGTTTCCATCTTTTCTTTCTAAAATACCACAAATATGATTATTTGAGTTTCATAATCATGTTTGTAGGCTTTTTAAAGCTTGCACATATGGTATTTTATTATAGAGAAAAATCTAATTTACAAATCTTTATACATTTCAAGGAAAACATTTAAACATCATAAAAGATGTTTGAGCAGACATAAGAATAGACAGAAATATCTCAGTAGGCAAATTCGAATTTATACAGAAAGTAATTGTGGAGCCTTATTTTTGGACTCTAGGTATTGCTGTATCATAGACAAATAAACATTTCTGTGTACTAGTTTCTTCATTGTGTGCAGAAATGTTTCCATAACATTCATAGAGTATTCCTTGGAAGAGTGACAACTTGTTATTTGGTGGCCATTTGGACCTTAGCAGTTCTTTACTGGGCTTCCTGCAATTGTTTGTTGGACAGACTCTTGAGACTCAGGATCCACAGTACCCCATGTTTCTGAATTTCTTTTTCAATCATAGAATCATGGAGTTTTCAAAGGAAATGCGTAATGAAATATGAGGTCACAATAACCATCGAAATAATTCATTTCTTCTTTGTCATTAGGAGTTGGAAGAATTTCTTCATGATTTCAGTGTCGAATGTTAAATCTTGGAGACAGAACTGAGAGGAAGGTTTTAATGCTCAGAGCTCGTCTGTCTTTTTTCTTTTCTACTTACTGTTGTTTTTCTTAGATACATTCATGTTGTGCTTATAGCTGTGTTTATTCTTTTTTTTTTTTTTTTGAGATTGAGACGTTGTCTCGCTCTGTCGTCCAGGCTGGAGTGCAATGGCACGATCTTGGTCCACTGCAACCTTTACCTCGTGGGTTTAAGCAATTCTCCTGCCTCAGCCTACCTAGTAGCTGAGATTACAGGCATCTACCACCTCTTCCGGCTAATTTTTGTCTTTTTTTTTTGTAGTTGGCCAGGCTGGTCTTGAACTCTACCTCAAGTGATCCAGCTGTACCTCAAGTGATCCAACTGTCTTGGCCTGTAATCCCAAAGTGCTGGGATTACAGGCATGAGCCACTGCCGCCTACCTGTAGTTCATTCATTCTCACTATGGTGTATGATCCATTGTATGAGTTAGCCTAATTTATTTAACCAGTTTTCTACCAATGGACATATATGCTTCTGCTGTTATGTTAGAAGTTTCTGCTGACTTGGGCCCTTGCTTACTGTGGGAATCTCAGCTTCTTCCCCTTGGAGCAGGCCCAGTGTTCTGCAGCCGGCATATCCAGGGCAACATTTTAATGTTCATTTTTATTTTGATTTTGCATACTACTCACCATTTTTTTTCTGTTATTTCAACTTACTTTAGTCTTTTTCTTAATGGGTTGGTAGTAGGCTTGATAATTTCTTCATACTTTTTGAGAACTTCTTAGTTAATTTAAACGAATAGTTTTAACGTTTTGAAAATTACAAACTCTAACACATGAATAAATTCACTTTTTTAAAAATAGGTTTTAGCCGAATTTTGGGACATGGCCACTGCTTCACCAAGGTCTGATGCTAGTAATAACCACAGTGGGAGGTTGCAGTTACAGGTAACTGGTGAGTTGTTTTTATATTTAATATGATGATTTCCCAATGAACTTTTCTTTTGAATACCTAATTTAGCAGAGTTATTCCAGAAATATAATTTATTTTAGATTCATACTATGGCGTATTTGTTGAAACAGGCCTCAAAAGTAGATGCCCTCCAAAAGTGTATTATTTATTCAGTGAATATTTATTGAACCTATGCTGTATGAAGAGAAGATATAGCTTCTGTAATGGTGGGAGAATTGGGGCTTTTGAATAAGTGTCATTGAGTTGGTTCTTAAATGATTAATAGGGTGGAGCAGGATACTAAAGGCTTTCTTACATATGTTTAGCCATTTGTTCAATCATTGGGCAAATATTTAAGTTGGATTACATAGTACTATAATTCCCATGATACTCTGAGGTCAGTTGTCTCTAGGAGGTTTCAGTTAACAGAGCTAGGAAATGTTTATTGTAGAATGCAAAAAATAAAAAAAAAATTTAAAATTCTGAGTTTATGGCTGGGTGCGGTGACTCACCCTTGTAATCCCAGCACTTTGGGAGGCAGAGGTGGGTGGATCACCTGAGGTCAGAGTTTGAGACCAGCCTGACCAAAATGGAGAAACCCCATCTCTATTAAAAGTACGAAATTATTCAGGTGTGGTGGTGGATACCTGTAATCCCTGCTACTCAGGAGGCTGAGGCAGGAGAATAGATTGAATGCAGGAGGTGGAGGTTGTAGTGAGCCGAGATTGTGCCGTTTCACTCCAACCTGGGCAAGAAGAGCGAAACTGCATCTCAAAAAAAAATTTCTGAATTCATGCTGATATTTCCAATTCGTAATAATAACTGTAGTCTCTAAGAACCATTTTCTACTAAAAGCAATAAAATTTTTAAAATTAATATGACTTTATATTCATATCTCTTTTTTTGTTTTTGAGATAGGGTCTCATGCTGTTTCTCTGGCTAGAGTGTAGTGGCACAAACATACCTCCTTGTACCCTCAAACTACTGGGCTGAAGTGATCCTCCTGCTTCAGCCTGCCAAGTACCTGAGACTGCAGACGTTTACCATCTTGTCTGGCTAATTTTTAAAAAAAATTTGTTAGAGACAGGGTCTCACTATGTTGCTCCTGCTGGTCTTGAACTCTTTGTTTCAAGCAATCCTTTTGCACCACCCTCCCAAGTTGCTGGGTTTACAGACATAAACTGCTGTGCCTGGCCTGTATTTCTTTTCTCTTAACCCACAAATCTTCATTCAAAATGACATTATCATAATACCTGTTTTATCTTACTACACCAGTTCAAAATAACATGAAAATTACCAAAAACAGAGGGAGGAGGAGGTGAAAAAAAGGAAAAAAATGTAATTTAAAAAATTACCAAAAACAATAGGTCCACTTATTGTAGTTTAAGATTTCTTTGTATGTTTTCCCCCTTTAGGATGTATAATCAAAATGCCATGTTTTAAAGTACCTTAGTAATTCTCTATTTCGTTATGTCACCAAGTTGATAAGGTCATTGTTTTCAGTTTTTTAAAAAATTAATTTTGTTTTATAACCATGTAAGATATTTATATAGTCCCAGAGTCAAAACCAAGGTACATTTAGAGAGGTCTGCCTACTTAGCCTCATTTTTCCCACTTCTCTCCCTTGCCCTGTAGGTTCATATTTTTATTAGTTTTGCTTTATCCTTTTGTTGCTTCTTTTTGCAAAGACAAGCAGATATATGTACAGTATATGTATCTCATCTCTCCTCCCAGTCCCCTAATTCTTACATACTTTTCTGTGCTTCACTTTTTTTTTTAACTTTACAGTATTATTCTGGAGTTTGTTTCATAACAGAATATTGTTTTTTATCATTGCACCATACCCTGTTGAATAGATGTAAAAAAAAACTAACTAGTCTTCTATTGCTGGACATGGGAGTTCCACTGTTTGTTATTACAAATAGTGCTGCAACAAATAGCTTCATGCAAAAGTCATTCCTTATTTCCACTTATGTATCAATAGGATAGGATCCTAGAATGAGATTGCTGGGTCAAAGAGTAAATACATGTAATTTTGCCAGTTATTGCCAAGTTCTGCTCCATGGGGCATGCAGCATTTTATATCTACACCAGCTATACATAAGAGTACCTGTTTTCCCAAAGCTTAACCAAAATCTGTTCTCAAACTTTGGGATTGTTCGTAATTAGATACTGAAGTGGTATCTTAATGTTATTTAAAATAGCATTTCTTTCATTGTAAGCAAGGTTGAAGCATAAGGGATATTTCTGTTCTGTTTTCTGTGAATAATAGGCATGTATATTTTTGAAGCAGTTCTGAAATTGATGATTTGGTAGGTACTCCACTGAAGAACCACTTACATAATTCCTTCTACTTTTGCCCTGTATTCAAAGCTTAGAGCCACATTTTCACCACATTTTCAGTTCATTGTAACTTGCATAGGAGCTATGGACAGTACACCTGAGGTGTAACTTTCAAATGTTGTTGATCTATGTGTAAGAGTTCTTAATTGAAATGAGAAAAACCTAGGCCAGGTGCGGTGGCTCATGCCTGTAATCCCAGCATTTTGGGAGGCTGAGGCAGGTGGATCACCTGAGGCCAGGAGTTTGTGACTGGCCTGACCAACATGGTGAAACCTGTTTCTACTAAAAATACAAAAGTCAGCCAGGCATGGTGGCGCATGCCTGTAATCCCAGCTACTTGGGAGGCTGAGGCACAGAATCCCTTGAACCGTGGAGGTGGAGATTACAGTAAGCCGAGATGGTGTCACTGCATTCCAGCCTGGGAGATAGAGTGAGGCTCCGTCTCAGAACTTACTGAAAGGCTATCAGGTGAATCAAATATGGAGAACCAATTGGAAAATAGATGTGGACCAAGGGAGTCTAAGTAGCTAATACAATGCCCTGACAGTACTTATCATTTTGAGTGTCAGTTACTACTCTTCTTTGCAATACAGTGACCCTTTTGTGAAATAATGATTATGGACCTGTACTAAACGGCACCAGATTTTAGTGCCTTCTTGTCTTTTTGTCTTTGTCTTTCATTTTGTTGATCTAATTTTTAAAATCACCTTAAATTTAAAAATCACCTTAAAATTCTCAGTCTTACTGATCTCATAATAACTTCTGCAATAAAGATTACTACTCCTGATTTGTCAGTGAGGACACTGGTAGTCAGAGGGATTAAGTGCCTTGGGTTAATAAAGAGAAACCAACTGAGGTCTTAAGACTCCAAGTTGTTGCTCCTTTTATTAGACTCTAGTGACTTCTGTATTGATTTTTCTTCTTTCTTTTTTTTTTTTTTAGTGGAGTCTTGCTCTGTTGCTCAGGCTCGAGTGCAGTGGTGCGATAGGCTCACGGCAACCTCCACCTCCTGAGTTCAAGTGATTCTCCTACCTCAGCCTCCTGAATAGCTGGGATTACAGATGCATGCCAACATATCTGTCTAATTTTTTTTTTTTTTTTTTTTTTTGTATTTTTAGTAGAGACGGGGTTTCGCCCTGTTGGCTAGTCCAGTCACAAAGTCCTGGCCTCAGGTGATCCACCTGCCTCAGTCTCCCAAAGTGCTGGGATTGTAGGCATGAGCCACCATGCCCAGCCTTTGCTTTTCTTTTTAAAAACAATCAGATAATACCCAGATTAAGGCCCCTCTAATATTGCAGTCTGGCTAGTTATCTGTAAACCGAAATTATCTGCCCTAAGCCAAATTATTAAAATATCCTAATTTATTTTTATTATTAGCATATTTACTTTTATTCTCATTTCTTTTCTTAACCCTTATCTGATTGGCAGCAACACATAAGAATAAGAGCATTGATCACGGAACGCAGGAAAACTGATGGAAAAAATCAAACAGAAAACTACATATTGTAATATGGTTAATATACTGTAATGTACCAGGTACTTAAGGATAGTAGCATATAGAAGTGTATTTATCTTTGATATTTTAGATTTTAGACTTTCAACAGGAAAGAGTCAGAAGCATAAAGTATGCAAGATATATAAGAAGGATGAGATTGAAGGACAAATGGGCTGTTATATTCATGTTTATATTTTTTTAGCTACTGTGTCTTCTAGAGCATTAATTTCAGTTTTAAAGTAAAAGTTTAAAATTGTATGCCACTTATTTATGAGTGGTGTGAATTATAGACTTCATTCTTTTCAAATGTTTCAACATTTATGGTCTAATCTCTTTCCATTGATTTGGAATGCCACTGTTACACATTACCATCTTGTTTGTTCTGTTTTCTTCATTTCTCTTTTACATCACTGTCAAGCCATTTAAATTATTTTCACTTTTATGGCACTTTAAAAAAAAATTTAAGAAATCTCCTTTTATTACTTTGCATTTTAAACCTTTGTTGTTCTCAAATTTTCTTTGGCTTTTATTTGAATATTTAAGTCTCCCTTCCTTTTCCTTTTCCCCCACCAAAAGCACTCAAAACCAATCAGTTGGTGTTTTTATTTTAAAGTAATGTATTAAATTGGAGGTAATTGAAATATTTTAGTGTTAAACTTTCCAAATCTAAGAATATATCATATCACTCTCTTTAAGTCTTTGTTTCCATCAGTAAAGTTTTACAGTTCTCTTCATGTGACTCTTACTATTTCTTAAGCTTGTTGCTAGATTTTTTGAGGGGACATTATTGTGAGTGGGATTTTTAAGTTAACTCCCCCTACCTCCCACACGTGATTCATTTTCTGATAGTTTAAAAATATTTATGTAACTTTAGAGTGGAGGACATTCTGGGTATAACACCAAAGAAAACTCATTAAATGAGAAAAAGAAAACTCTATATTCTACTAACTAGAACAACTTTTTTAATAATAAGGTCTTCTAGTAATTTTAAAACACAGTATATAGTTATTTATATATACATTTTTGCTAGCACATTATAAATTCCTCATGATATTAAAGATTATTATCTTTTAAAAATCTCTTTTCTTACCTTACCAGCTTATAATATTGTTGAGCATTTTGTTAATTAAGGCTATTCAGTGGACATGTTTTGGATGGATCTGCAATGAACTCAAAAGAATTAATACTATATAATCAGCTACCATTGTTGGATGCCAGGCATTCATTGATGGTGATAGCGCTTTGCATGCCTTCACTCACCAATACTAAGAATCAGGTACTACTGCTTTTCTAAGTTTTTAAGTAAGGTATGGAGAAATTGATCGACTGACTATGGTCAGGCTTCTAGTAAGTGGCACAGTTGAAAAATGAACCCAAATGTGTCTAACCTTACATTTTTAACACCATTTTGTACTGCCTGCCCCTTCTTCCAGTCTTCTGCTATGTGGTTAAGACCTACACGTACTAAAGAAATGTATGAGCACTTTTATTCAAAGAATCTTGGGGAGTTTCTTGGGAGAGGGCAAGTCTGGGCCTTCATATTAGTCCAGTTGTACTGAACTTAAAGAAGATTAGAACACTGAAAGATGGAAATGAGTTTTACTAAGACACTGATAGTAGCACTTCAGACATAACATTGAACACTCTTTAATTGCTATGTTGCCAGTACTTAAATATAGTATTTGGTTTGAGTCTTGCATTTGTCACATTATATTTCAGTGATTTATTTGTGTGACTCTTTATTTAGATTATTATTCTTTTCCAATAGAAAGGAAGCTTACATAGCTTTGGTTGTTTTCATATCCTTAACATCCAGTGGGTTGACATGAAAGAGGCTTTCCCCTTCCTCATCTCTGACCTAAGGTGTTCATAGGTAATTGATTATGGAGGTGATCTTGGTAAGTTGTTCTTACTGCCTGGTCATCGGTATTTTGCCCAGAAAGTAGATAGTCCCTAATTTCTTCGTATCTCAGGTACATTAGATTTAAAATTCACTTTCTAGAAGGGGTTAGGATTAACTTTTATAATGACACTTTAATTTTTAAGTTTTTATTTGAAAATATCAATTCTACTTTTCTTCTTTTTGAAGCTAACTCTGCAGGTAAAGGATTAAAGCATTTTTTAAAAAGTGCCACAGTTATGCAATTTCAGAAAGACAAGTTAATCCTATGTGGCAGGGTGTTAATGGGGATGTTGCATCTGAAGACACTTTTCCCTTGACCTTTAATGCAGTTGTTGGGTAAAGGTGTGGAAGAATCAGTATATACTGTTGATAGGAATATAAAATGGTGCAGCCACTTTGGAAAATAGCCTGGCAGTTACTCAACAGAGGATTACCATATAAGCCAGCAATTCTGCTTCAAAGTATATGCCCAAGAGAAATGAAAACATATGTCCACACGAAAGCCTGCACACAAATGTTCATAACAGCTTTATGCACAACAGCCACAAAGTGGAAGCAATTTAGATATTTATCAGTTGATGGTAGATAAAATATTGTATACCCGTATAATAGAATGCTATTTGGCAAGAAAAACGGTGGAGTACTGGTGTATGTTACAATATAGATGAACCTCGAAAATGTAATGCTGAGTGAAAGAAGCCAGTCACAAAAAAACCCCATGTTATATGCTTCTATCTATATGAAATGTCCAGAATAGGCAAATTTAAAGAGATGAAGAGTCGGATAGTGGCTGCCTAGGGATGGGGGTGGGGAGAGGGTTGATTGGGAAGAGAAAGGAGGGTGACTGCTTAATAGTATGGAGTTTGTTTTTGTGGCAACAAAAATGTTTTAAAATTGATTGTGGTGATAGTTGTGCCACTCTGAATGTAGTAAAACCGTTGAATTGTACAGTTTAAGTGGTTGAATTATATGGTATGTGAATTATACCTCAATAAAACTGTTATTCAGTTTTATTCAAATGGCTCTCAGGCATTATCAATAGCCCTTTTGTATTGTTCCTTCATTCTGCCAATCAGAAGAGTTCTAGTTGCACAAGAAGTACAACCCCATTCTTACTGATTAATTAGTGTGCAGTACGACTTTTTGGCAACACATACTCACTAGTGAATTATCATTTTTCTGTTAGTTTCTAGTGCCAAACTTAAAAGAAAAAAGAACTGGTTTGGAACAGCAATATATACAGAAGTAGTTGTAGATGGAGAAATTAGGAAAACAGCAAAATCCAGTAGTTCTTCTAATCCAAAATGGGATGAACAGCTAACTGTGTAAGTACCTTATATAAAGGATGCAGAATCTTTCAGAAGGGGGTGTGTTTTTTGGAATATGTTTTTTATTTTGTAAAATGACTTAAAAGTAATGAGTGATTTTTAAAGTATGGATCAACAATTTAAAGTATGGAGAAATGTTTGGTTAATTTTTTTAAAAGGAGAGGATGCATAATGTTGCTTGCTTTGCTTTATAAACCAAATTATTTCCATATAGACATTTTCTCTGTTTTGGTACAGAAAGAGGACTGAAAATTAGTCATTCTTAATTTTGGCATTTCAAAATATAATGATATAAATTTGTGTATAGCAAAAGTATTATATAAGTCTTTAGACATTTGTTCAAATAGAAACAGTGTTACTGTGAAGTCTCAATAAGACTTTTGTGTTGGTGTTTTGGCTTGCTAATTCCAAAAATCCTCATCTATTATTAAAGTCTTAATGTATTTGAAAGTAAAATATTTTTCTTTATGATTCAGGTAGTTTCCTGTTTCATACAATATTTCTTTTAAAATAAATAGAATTCATGGTCTTTAAAACATTACTAAAATAAATGGTTTAATAGGAATTGTTATGTATTAATATAATGATGATGTCTACTCCTGTATTTTTGTTACAATTTTACCCTTTCAGAAATGTTACGCCACAGACTACATTGGAATTTCGAGTTTGGAGCCATCACACTTTAAAAGCAGATGCTTTATTAGGAAAAGCAACAATAGATTTGAAACAAGCTCTGTTAATACACAATAGAAAATGTAAGTTTTTTGTTCTAATCTTTATTTTTTTATAAGTTTATTTTAGACACTTTGAACATACCCCAAAGCCTAAAAGCAAAAACATAGTTTTGTATTCCTAAAGAACTTCAGTTATTGCTTGTGGTTGATTAACTTTGTGGCATTATATGAAATAGGAAATATTTCTCCATTCTGTGGATTTACAAAGTGATCTTAGTCGTCCACAAGTACCCTGTTATCAGTGATCATCAGTCATTTATTATTTCTTGTTATTATATACTTTAAAACTTGAGAAAATTATCATTATGTGATCCTACTCTTTTGTCATTTGACTAATAATTTTATTTGGGTAAAATAAATTATACTTAAGTCTTTTATTATTATATAATTAATTTATTGTAAAAAATATGAAGAAGATAGAAATTATAAAGTAATATAAAATTTTGTATAATTTTACTGTCCAGGGATACCCAATCTTAATAATTTGATCTCTGTCCTTTTCTTTTTCATAGACACAAACATAGGTTTTTCTTCTTTGTATCTGCTGGTTTATCCTCTGCTTTCTAGAAATTTAACAATATACTATAAATATGTTTCCATGATAGTTTTTCTAGATTGGGATTTTTAAGGTAGTTTAGATTTTAATTATTTGTAAACCTACTATCATTATATGTAAAAACATGGGGGTATATACGTATGTGTGCAGTTCTGGGGAGAGGATTCATAGCTTTTATCAGATTCTCAAAATGTGTGATTCACTGAATATTAAAAACCAGGATTCTGACTGGGAGTGGTGACTCATGCCTATAATCCCAGTACTTTGGTAGGCCAGGGTGGGCAGATCACTTGAGGTCGGGAGTTCGAGACCAGCCTGGCTAACATGGCAAAACCTCATCTTTACCAAAAATACAAAAATTAGCCAGCATAGTGGCATGCCCCTGTAGTCCCAGCTATTTGGGAGGCTGAGGCAGGAGAATCGCTTGAACCCTGGAGGTGGAGGTTGCAGTGAGCTGAGATTGCACCATTGCACTCCCAGCCTAGGTGACAGAGTGAGATTCCATCTCAAACACACACACACACACACACACACACACACACACACACACACACAAACAAAAAAAACCAGGGCTCTAGTTAATGATTTTTAAGTACCATATAATGATTTCTCATACCATAATTTATCTAGTTTCCTGTTGTCTGACACTTAGCTTGTAACATTTCACTCAAAATATGCTTTTGCTCAAATCCATGAATATTTTTGCTCTGCTTATTTCCTTAGAGATTTTCTTACTAATTCGTAAAAGTAGGTTTGCTGAATGAAGTAAGGGATGAAATGCTAATGTTGAAAATAACAAGTTGATCTTTAAAAAAGTTCTTTCTGCAAATCCACATGTCACTTAAAGAACAGTTGTGATACAGTGTTTGGAAATAAAGAATTGACTTAAAATATAATATATGTCTTACAATAATTACAAATAGTCATTAGTAGTTAGTATAAGCCTTAGTAATTTTTATATATTTGACTTAAAACTTTTTTTTCTCTTAAAGCTTGGTAAGTTTGATTCTCTGTTATGCCATGGCTTTTTTTTTCTCAATGAGTCATGCAATTTATCTTGGTACAGAAATAAGTAATAAGTTTTGTAAGTATACAGTAGCTTGCCTGGATTATTATTATTTAACCATGTTCCCATTGTTGGACATCTAGATCGTTTTCAATTGTTATGTTAGACTCTACTAAACCTCCATATATAAAGATAACTATCTTCCAAATGATCCTAGGAAGTTTGTAATGTCAATACACTTCAAAATGAAACCCTTAGTTTTTGTATAAACTAAAAATTACCTCTGCTGTGCATAGTGGCTTACACCTGTAATCCCACCATTTTGGGAGGCCAAGGCGGACGGATCACCTGACGTGAAGAGTTCAAGATGGTTGAAACCCCGTCTACTGAAAATACAAACATTAGCTAAGCATGGTGGCACATGCCTGTAATCCCAGCTACTTGGGAGGCTGAGGCAGGAGAATTGCTTGAGCTGATGAGGTGGAGGTTGCAGTGAGCTGAGATTGCACCACTGCACTCCAGCCCTGGGCGACAGAGCGGGACTCCGTCTCAATAAATAAATAAATAATAAATAAAAATTATCTCTTAGGATTTAATTGAGTAGGATATACTCAGGAAAAATGAAATTTAATAAACATGGATACAGTGAGTAGAAGGCTTCAGAAATTGTAGTAGTAGCATCCTGCACACTTAAGAAGTCAGTAAATTAGTTTGCAAGGGCTGCCATAACAAAATACCACAGACTGGGTGTTTTAAACAATGGAAATTTATTTTCTCACATTTCCGGAGGCTGGAAGTCTGTGATTAATGTATTAGTGGGGTTGGTTTTCTTGTGAGGTCTTGCTCCTTGGCTTGTAGGTGGACATCTTTTCCCTGTATCTTCACATGGTCTTCCCTCTGTATATATGTCTGTGTCCAGATTTCCCCTTATAAGGACACTGTCATTAGATTAGAGCTCATGATGATGACATTATTTTAACTTAATTACCTCTTCAAAAATCTGATATCTAAAATGTCACATTTTGAGGTAATAGAGGGTAAAACTTTAACATACAAATTTGGTAGGGGGCACAATTCAGCCCCAAACAAAAGGTAAATAAATTTATTTGAAGAATTAAATCTCATAGTAGAATCATAATCCTTCAACGATAGAAGACACCTGTGGGTATTAGTTTTAGTCATTCATTTTATAGACAAATGAGTAATTCAAATAATTTAGAGTAATTAAAATTACTTTAATTTTTTAATCTAAGTGACTTGCTCAAGCGTATACATGTAACTACCGGGTTGTGATTAAAACATGTTTTCTGATTCTTAGCTGCTTAATTTTTATTAAAAGTAACATAAAATTAATATGATTTAAGACAGCCTTGAAGCAATTTAAAAATACTTCTATAAATGAATGATAGAATTCTTGGTTGCCTTTGATCCAGCCTCTTTGGTTTAGCACTTGTACTCTGAGTTTTAGTTGGGTATCAGTTGAATGAGGTCCAGTTAAATTTTGGGGGTGTTATATAGTTACCTTTAAAATGAAGTAAACAGACTGGCCATGGTGGCTCATGCCTATAATCCCTCAGGAAACCGAGGCAGGTGGATTACCTGAGCTCAGGAGTTTGAGACCAGCCTGGGCAACATGATGAAACCCTATCTCTATCAAAGATACAAAAAACTAGCTGGGCATGGTGGCATGTATCTGTAGTCCCAACTACTTGGGAGGCTGAGGTGGGAGGATTGCTTGAGCCTAGGAGGTGGATGTTGCAGTGAGCTGAGATTATACCACTGCATTCAAGTATGAGTGACAGAATGAGACGCTGTCTCAAAAAAAAAGCAGTAAACAAAAACTGCTAAGAACAAAATAGATAGCCCAAGGAAAACATGACAACGTACTGATGAATAAAAATATTCAGTACCAAAAACAGTTTTTGTTCCTATCCTTAAACTCTGATTTGAGGGGCAAGATTATTGATTAGAGGTATTATGTTTCTGAGGTGTGCCGTATACAGAAAGTGTTTGATAGCACCTTGAATAAAATGTATATATTTGTGAAGAAGGGCCCAGTGGAGGGATGTTCTGCAGTGTGTCTATGTTCCTCACCTTGCAGAGAATAGATTTTTAAGGGACGAAGTGAAAGAGGAATCTCCTGAGAGGAAAGAAAGTAGACTGAGTTTTTAGATGTTGAGGCAATGAAAGAAGAGAACACAGCCAAGGACAGTCTAGCTCTTCTGGAAGTACCCTGGATCTAGCATTATGAAAACTTCCAGTATGATTTCTGGCAAGACATTTAAAAAAAAAAAGTTTATGGTGTGAATGAATGCAGACTGCTAGAAATGCGGTAACTGTTAAAATAAAGTAAATAATTAGGTTAGAATGGTAATGTTTGGATTATGAATTAATACTGCTCTTATTCAACCTACCTGAGTAATTGAGGAGTAGGCTTGGATTTTATGCAGCTGTGTTTGATTGAGTCCTCTTCATCTGCCCACTATAAAGGATAGGATTGTGATAGGAAGTACCTTGGATCTAGCATGCATGAAAACTTCCAGTATAATTTCTGGCAAGACATTTTTTTAAAAGCCCATGGTGTGAATGAATGGCGGACAGGATTAAAGTCCTTGAAAGTAGATTACAATATTGAGCAGGTGACTGTGACCAGAAGTGTATGTGGGGGCTCTCAAGGGTAATTTTAAAGGATGAAAGGACATATGGGAAAGTTATTGTAGGAATCTCAGGTAACATTTATTATAACAGTTGTAGACCACAAACAAAATGGAATTAATGAGCAACTTGGAAGTAGAGACTATATTATTCACTTGTGTTTTTTCAGTGCTTCTTACAGTCCACAGCCGAAGATATTTTTAAGATGTTAACAGAGAAACTTGCTTATTCAAGTAAAATCTTACTATGGAATCTTACTCTATATAAAAATTTTACTCTATGTGAAGCATACAGCAGTATTAAACAGCACAGTCATGAACATGCTCATGTACCCTTACTCTTGTTATCTGCAGCAGTTCCTGAGTTAATTTCTGGGAGGACCCTCCTCCTGAAACCAGTTTGAAAATCATTTTTCTGTAAGATCAAGTTCAACTCCTGGTTTCAGTGCCTTACAGAGTCTTAGTTCACTTTGTCTTATTTCCTGCTTACATCTTTATACCCTGACAGCACCGTCCAGCTAGTCTTCTTATTGTCTTCTGAATAGCTTTGTTGGTTCTCCTATATTGAAAGCAGCCTGTCACTAATCATGTCCTTGTTATTTTCAATAATTATACATTTGTTTAGTGTATTTTTTAGTTCATTCTTTAACATAGATGGAATTGTTATGGAGAGTGCCTAAAAATTATGTGTAAGATAGCTTCTAAGGAGGCTGAAGCAAGAAGATCTCTTGAGGCCCAGAGTTCAAAGCTGCAGTGAACTATCATTGTGCCTGTGAATAGCTGCTGTACTGGAGCCTGAGTACAC